AGGAGTGTGTTTCCTGATGTTCTGCTATAGTGAGTAATATTTTATAATTTTACTTGTTGGTAAAATTAAAGTTGTAACAAAAAATAGTTATGACGTTTCTCTTACTCATTAATGCAATAGCCAAAAGTTAATTAATTAGAAGATTTTTGGGGAATTTTATTTTTCAGAAGTATCACAAAGTTGAAGGAAGAAAACTGACAAAGGACGAGTTTCGAAAAATTGTTGGTGATCTAATTCGTGAATCAGGAGTTACTGGATTTGGAGCCAAAGATACATTGTTTTATCTATTTGGAGTTCCTGTGACAACATTATTTATCAAGCAAAGAATAAAGCCACAAGCAATTTCTGATGAGATTTTCATTCCTGCTGTTACTTCTGCTACTGTACTTGTTCTTGCCAAATTCAATAAGGTCTAAGAAATCAAAACAATTTCTTCAGTTTTACCGATTCGAATATGTACGGTAATAACTATGCTTCAGTCTCAAACAAGTTTGAAGAACTGATCAGAATATGTAGCAACAATTAAATGCAATCATTTGACACTTTGTATCTTCTTTTTAAATCCAGTTATCTGTTTAAGTTTTATGGATCGACGATGCTACACATATTTACACCTTCAGGTCAAATATGTTGCAGTTAGAGGTAAATCTCTATAATAAATACGGAAAAGGGTCAAAATTACCCTTGAAGTATTGATATTGGTTAAAAAAATATCATCCCTCCACCTATTTGAATAAAAATGCCCCTAAAGTTATCTTTTGGGCTCAATGTTATCCTTATTACTTAAAGAAATTTTCGAAGAAAAAAGAAAATTTAACTAATATCTACATGTCACCGTCCCATTGACCTAACGTAAATCCTAAGCCAAATTATAGTTAAATCCATCCGTAACCCGCCCGGATATTGACCGGCCTCAATTTTAAAATATAACTCTCTCTCACACTCATACACACACCTCTCTCCCTCTTCATCATTTTCGTTTTAATGAGCGTTTTTGTATGAATTGTATGTCTATGGTTGTTCATGAGGCAAACCCAAAATTGAGTTCTTTAGTAGAATTATTTTTATGGAAGATGGAAGGAAGTGTCATATTCTTTTTTATGCCAAAATGTTTAGATCTTGTTTTGTTTGTGCAATGGGTATCTTTATCGTGTAAGTTTTTTATTCGTTATTTCTAGGGTTTTTCTTCATTACTTTTTTGTCATTCCCCTATGAAAATCTGATGATTATTTCTAATTTTTTACTGCATATGTAATTTGCATTTCAATTTTAAATTTATTTCGCCTTTTGTTCTATTAATATGTAAGCTTTTTTCCTCTGTATAAAGGGTATTATTCAATTTGTCACATTTCAAACACACTAGGTTCATATGATTTACTAATAATAGTTGGCAATTTTTTAGATAATTTCTTCACTGGTATTTTCTTCTTTTGAATTCTTTTTTGTTATCATGGATTTCATTTTCTAGATTATATTACTATGCTAAGTCTAGTAAAAAAAGGATTTTCTACTCATAATATAACGACCCAACCGGTCGTTTTGAGTGTATTAGCCCCGATCCCCCATTTACTGCTTCCTCCATATCTTTTTCTGCTTATGAGACTTGCCGGGAGGTTTTGTTGTGGTTTCGGAGTGATTTGGGACACTTAGTCCCTAAAACGGAAGCTTAAGTCTTAGGATTTTGACTGTAGTCGGATTTATGTGAAGACGACTCCGGAATGGAGTTCCGTCAGTTCCGATAGCTTCGTTAGATAATTTTGGACTTAGGAGCGTGTCTGGACTGTGAATTTGAGGTCTGTAGCTGCTTTAGGCTTGAAATGGCGAAAGTCAAATTTTTGGAGATTTTGACCGGAAGTGAACTTTTTGATATCGGGGTCGGATTCCGATTCCGGAAGTTGGAGTAGGTCCGTAATGTTAAATATGACTTGTGTGCAAAATTTGAGGTCAATCGGACGTGGTTTGATAGGTTTCAGAATCGGTTGTAGAAGTTTGAAGTTTCAAAGTTCATTAAGTTTGAATTGGAGGGCAATTCGTATTTTTTAGCGTTGTTTGATGTGATTTGTGGGTTCAACTAAGTTCGTATGATGTTTTAGGACTTGTTGGTATGTTTGGTTTAGGTACCGGGGGCCTCGGGTGAGTTTCGGATGGTTAACAGATCATTTTTGGACTTAGAAGAATTTCTTTTGCTGGGCTGGTTCTGGTGTAATCTCACATGCGCAAGGCTAACCGCAGGTGCGAGCAATATGGCGCATAAGCGGAGTTGGGAGGTTTGGTCAGGTGTCGCAGGTGCGTGGAAAATGGCACATCTACGATGTCCGCAGATGCGCTAGAGGAACCGCAGGCGCGGAAGGAGACCGCAGAAGCGGACCATTGTCCGCAGGTGCGTACACGCAGGTGCGACCACCTGATCACAGAAGCGGTCCCAGTCACCTTAAGCCACGTCCGCACCTGCGATGGAATTTCCACAGGTGCGGCGTCGCAGGTGCGACTAGAGGCCCGCAAGTGCGAAAATGCTAGGCAGAATAGGCCAAGTTCAAGGGTTTTATCCCATTTTCAGTTTTGGGTCTTTGAGAAATCGGATTGAGGCGATAATTCAAGAATTTTTCAGAAAGAACTTTGGGGTAATTATTCTTAACTCGTTTATGGTTATATTCCACTAATCTATAGTTGTTTTCATCATTTAATTAAGGAATTTGGTTGAGAAATTTGGGGAAAAAGATTGGAAGTTCTTCAACTAAGTTTTGCATTTTGATTCGGATTTTGATATCGTATTTGGATAATTTTGGTACGAGTGAACTCGTGAGCGAATGAGTGTTCATATTTTATAACTTTTATCCGATTTCGAGATGTGGGCTCGGGTCGACCTTTTAGGACGAATTTCGAATTTTTTGTTAAAGTCTTGATTTCATTTATTAGATTAGTCTATTATAGTTGTATTTATGATATGTAATTATTTTTGGATAGATTTGGGCCATTCAGAGTCGAATAATCGAGAAAAAGGCATTCTTACGGATTGATTGAGCTTGGTTCGAGGTATGTGGCTTGCCTAACCTTGTGTGTGGGGAAATCTCCTTAGGATTTGGTATTGTTGTGATATGTGAGCGCCTGTACGTGAGGTGACGAGTGCGTATACGGGCTATCTGTTGTAAAACCTGATTTTTACTGAGTAGTAACCTGTTCTCATTCTTAATTGAGTTATACCAATATGTGTAGTTATCCTGTTTAGTCTAATATTGCATGTCTACGTGCTTTAACTGCTTATTTAAAATTATGTACAACATGCCTAGTTGATTTCCATCTTTTCCTTGTTCTTTATCAGTCTTAACTGTAGAATTCTTGTTGTTAACTGTGGTATTTATTGGTTGAGCTGTGTGTTTACTTTTGAGACTACGAGGCGGTTCCTCTTGAGTTCTCCCTGCATATTTACTTTTGAGACTACGAGGCGGTTCCTCAGGAGTTCTCCCTGCACATTTACTTTAGAGACTACGAGGCGGTTCCTCGGGAGTTCTCCCTGCACATTTACTTTTGAGACTACGAGGCGGTACCTCGGAAGTTCTCCCTGTACATTTACTTTTGAGACTACGAGGCGGTACCTCGGGAGCTCTCCCTGTATATTTACTTTTGAGACTACAAAGCGGTACCTCGGGAGTTCTCCCTGCATATTTATTTTGGGACTATGTGACGGTATCTCGGGAGATCCCCTGCTGTTTATCCCTGTGTGTTGTACTATTATTTCACTGTGTTTTCCTTTTGTTAAATTCCAGTCTCTTATTATACTGTTATATTCTTCTGCTTTATTTATTATATACCAGTGTGCCTGACCTGACCTCGTCACTACTCTACCGAGGATAGGCTTGGCACTTACTGGGTACCGTTGTGGTGTACTCATGCTACTCTTCTACACATATTTTGTGTGTAGATCAAGGTAATTCTTATCAGCCTCACTATTAGCTGAGAGTGTTTGCTGCTGTACAGGGACTTCAAGGTACATATGCCGCGTCCGCAGACCTTAGAGTCCCCTTCTATTCTCTTATATGTCATTTACCTTATGTATTTCTTTTATTAAACTCTGGTGTATAGAGATACTAGATTTCTTCTGTAGCTTATGACTTATGATGTTCCGGTTTTTGAGAATACCGTGTATTACTAGAGTGTTGGTTATTGTACATGCCGAGCGGCATTGTTACCAGTTATTTAGTTATATATTGCAGTTAGTTGTTAAGTTTTCCTTCTATTTTTGTTATTTCCGTATTTTGTTAGGCTTACCTAGTCGTAGAGACTAGGTGCCGTCACGACGTCTTACGGAGGGAGAATTGGGTCGTGACAAGTTGGTATCAGATCTCTAGGTTCATAGGTGTCGTGAGTCACAAGCAAGTTTAGTAGTGTCTCGCGGATCAGTACAGAGACGTCTGTATTTATCTTCGGGAGGCTATGGAACTATTAGGAAGAATTTTATTTCTTTGATTCCTTGTCGTGCAGAATTGTTGACATCGAAATTCTAAACTTTTATATTCTATTCTCTCACAGATGGTGAGGACACGTACATATGGATTTGATGACCAGGCACCTGCGCCCCCTGCTAGAGCCGCGAGAGGCCGAGGACGTCCACGCGGTGCATCTAGAGCACCCGCACGAGCTGCTAGAGAGGAGCCCCCAGTAGCTCCAACTAGAGGGCAGACACCTGAGATACATGTTGCTTCACCATCTCTCCAAGAGACTCTAGCACATTATCTGAGCATGTTCAACACCTTGGCTCGGGCTGAATTGATTCCACTTACTCCTGCCACGTCTCAGGCCGGGGGAGGAGCACAGACTCCCGTCGCTGGTACTCCAGAGCAGCGGGTTCAGGTCGACCAGGTTCCAGAGATTATACCGATGCAGCTGGTAGCTCAAACTCAGCCCGAGCTTAGGGCAGCAGTTTCTGAGGCGGAGCAGCTCAGACTTGAGAGGTACAAGAAGTACTACCCTCCTACCTTCAGTGGATTGGCGTCAGAGGATGCCAGGGTTTTCTGGAGGAGTGTCACCGTATTCTCTGTACTATGGGCGTAGCAGAGTCGAGTGGAGTTTCTTTTACTGCATTCCAACTTATAGGAGCAACCTATCAGTGGTGGCGTGTTTATGAGTTGGGTAGTCCGGCTGAGGCAACTTCACTTACATGGACTCAGTTCTCAGACATGTTCTTGAGGGAGTATAATCCTCAGAGTCTTAGAGATACATGGCGTGCAGAGTTTGAGCAGTTGTGCCAGGGTGCTATGACTGTGTTAGAGTATGCAATTCGCTTTAGTAATTTGGCCCGACATGCACCAGCCTTGGTTGCCACAGTTCGAGAGAGGGTTCGTCGGTTTATTGAGGTACTGTACCCCAGTATTAGGCTTAGCATGGCCCGGGATTTAGAGATGGATATTTCTTAGCAGCAGGTTGTGAGTATTTCTAGGATATTGAAGGGTATGCTTGCTCGGGAAAGAGAGGAGAGGGAGGCCAAGAGGTCTCGAGAGTCTGGAACTTATAGTGGTACTCATGCCCTAGCTGTAGTTCGCCATGGTAGGGGTTATGTGAATCGCCTGGTTCATTCAGCTCTTTCAG